CGCTGGAGCATAATTTTATCCAAGAAGGTCCTGGGGCAGGTTTCGACGTGCTATCAGCAGTATCACCCGCACCAGGTTGCAGCTGAGTGGTGATGTAGAGGAAAATCCCGGCCCTTCACTGCGAGGAGTGCTGTGGTACTCAGCTGGACTTATCCAGGCCAAGAGGCTTGCTCTCCACAAAAAACCCTTCTTGAGGAGAATGCGACATTCTGCCTTCTAAGCGAGACGAAACTATCTTGTGCGGAAGTGTCGAGTTTCACAATCGCTGGTTACCAACATCATGGAGTGTTCCACCCCTCTAAAGGAGGTGGTGTTTCGATTCTTGTGCGTGAAGATCTGCCAGTAGAAGTAGGACTCACCGTCGTTGCAAGCATTGAGCATGCTCATGCAACGGTCCACATGTCAGAGGGTCTGGCGCTCACAGTGGCGTCAGCATATTCTTCCCTCTGGGGAGATCATGCGCAACTTCGCAACTAGACACGCTTTTGATGACAAGCGGACGTCACCTAATTGGTGCAGATGCTAATGCGCATGCAATGGCATGGGNCCTTCCTCTACCAATGCAAGGCGGCCCGCCGGCGCCCAACCCCAAAAACTTGTTTCGTCCAATATCGGCTGAAATAATTTGCAGCGAAACGCCGTGCATAATCTTTTTTTTTTGCCGGTCCAATTCCTGAGACCCGATCCCCTTCCAAAGGCCTTCAATAGGGAATTAAGCGGGGCATTCGATAGTAAGAGCGGGGCGCTGCCGCAATCAATTTCAATAAATCAAATTCTACTACCCCAAATTCCTTGGTAATGACGGTCACCTCGTCGCGGCGGCAAGGCCCAGTGCTTCGCATTCTCAAAGGAAGCGAAGGGCCCACGAAGTGTTTATTCTCGAAGACCCGTTGGCCCTTAGGCTACGGCGTTAAATAGCAATGGGGCCAGCCGCGTCGTGCTGGGGCAGAAATATATCCAATAAGGTCCTGGGGCACGCGTCGACGTGCTATCAGCAGTATCACCCGCACCAGGTTGCAGCTGAGTGGTAATGTAGAGGAAAATCCCGGCCCTTTACTGCGAGGCATGCAGTGGAACTCAGCTGGACCTATCCAGGCCAAGAGGCTTGCTCTCCACAAAAAACCCTTGTTGAGGAGAATGTGACGTTCTGCCTTCTAAGCGAGGCGAAACTATCTTGTGCGAAAGTGTCGAGTTTCACAATCGCTGGTTACCAACATCATGGAGTGTCCCACCCCTCTAAAGGAGGCGGCGTTTCGATTCTTGTGCGTGAAGATCTGCCAGTAGAAATAGGACTCACCGTAGTTGCAAGCATTGAGCATGCTCATGCAACGATCCACATGTCAGAAGGTCTGGCGCTCACAGTGTCTTCAGCATATTCTTCCCTCTGGGGAGATCATGCGCAACTTCGCAACTAGACACGCTTTTGACGACAAGCGGACCTCACCCCATTGGTGCAGATGCTAATGCGCATGCAATGGCATGGGGTTGCGAGATACATCGCCACCGGAGCGTGGGGACTCTGACAGGTTTCCATGTGGGGCATTCCGAAAGTTCTACGCCCACCTAGACTCCCTCGTCATCCGCTGCCGAAATTTCCATGATGGGCAATGGGTGCCAAGAAAAACAAGATCCCAACCAATCCCAGTACAATCCGGCAAAAACAAGAGACCTTCCGGCGTTAGTCTGTCCCACATGCAACCGCCTGTGTTCATGAATAAATCGGGCCTGACTCTGTACCGCATTTCGTGACCCGGGTATCAACTTACCCGCGCGCACACCAGCCAACGTGACGAATGCGAAGAAACAGCTCTGCATCTCTTGAGTTGCCCCGCTCTTCATTCACTGCGAGTTCAATTTGCGATCGTTGATGTACCCTGATGAAACTATGTTTTTCTAAGCTGTTAGCACATTTTCATATTGCGGTTTAGCGGAACTACATTATGCCCCAGATTTCTCGCCCAAGAAGTCTTACGTCCCTTTCCTTACCCCGCAAGCCTTCCCCGCACATTAGAACTGGCAATACCCTCGATTATGGAACCCCTGATAGAATCGTACGAAAAAGGCACTTGTCGCAGATCCAAGAAGCAAGAAAAATAAATAGGAGTTCATCGAGGTCAATTAAATGCAAAAATAAGGAGACCTGAGGACGGGCTCTGGGCAACGAAGGTGGGAGTAGAGTTTTCTCGTAGACTGGTTCTCTTGTATGGGAATGGCTTTAACAGAAATATAGAACAAAGCTTTAAATTAGCAAGAACTAAATAACAAAAACCAAAAAAAGACATATTACAAGAGCTTGAGGACCCCACAAAACAAAGGAATCTTCTTCTATAACACTGCTCATTATACACAGTGACAAAGTGCTCCGCGGTGGTAGGCTGACAGCTGCATCATTGGTGTGACATCCATAAAGACACGAAAAAAAAAAATGTCCGGAAGAGGTGATTCCCTATGGTACCGAATTACCGCATCTTGGTGCGTTAAATGTAGAGTTTCTTAGTCTGAAAGGTCCTCATTTCTGATGAGATTCATACCAGTAAGATGTGAGGATTTGTTCTCGCATAGTTGATAATGGTTTGTGTCTTGATGTAGACTACTTCGCTACTCTTTGGTAAGTGTAGTTGTGAGAAGGTTACGCGGTTCTGCACACCACAGTGACGGTATACCCTCATCTGTAAGAGTTAAACGTCAAGAAATCTGTTTCATATTATTCTACTGGCTCGTATATTCGTACTCCACAATATATATATATAACGAAACTATTTATGTACGGTTCATCAAGCTTGAGTTAAGGTTAAAGAGGGTTGATAGTGTGGATACTCCGTCCTCTCGGTCTGGCAGAGTGAGCCCTTGTTTAGGGCAATAAGGAGGGATTGACTCTTTGTCACCTCAACCGAGAGAAATTTTTTCTGGGTGTGCTTTACAGGGTAAAACCAATCAATGTAGTGGAAGTAGTATGGCACGTAATTCTCTTTTTGTAGTCACAGGGTTGCGTTCCGCAGTCTCCAGTTTTTTTTTATTAGTGATCTCGGTGGAGTCATGGGAAGAGAGCAGTACCCTCCCTCCATCTGAGAAAGCGACATCTACACCACCATCAGTGGAGAGAACATATATACGGTGTTTATGATGTGCAGGGGTATTGAAGTTGATGTGTCTTTGCTTGAGTAGAAGTGCTTTTTCGTTGGTCATTGTGCTATTCATAGGCAATTAGATTCCTATTTTGAT